GCCCTGTAGTTCATGGAGGGGAATAGCAGTCACGGTTGGGTCCACTGCCGTATGGGCTCAGCAGCAGTTGCCACATCTGTACGCCTTGTAGGTAAATCCTAGGTGTCAGTATGTTTTATAACAGAATAAAGGCACTCCCACTGAATTCTTCTTAAAGGAGAACTATGGGGTCAGTGCTTTTCCCCATAGTTCTTCTAAGGGTAACGGGAGGACACAAACTAGTGTCCTCCCGTCACCCAAAGCTCAGTATACAGCAAGCTGCAGCTCGCGGTATACTGAGAGGCCACAACCAGGACGGTTCCCGACATTACTGTCGAGATCCACCCAGCTGCGTGATTGACAGCTGGCTGTGCCTATCTAAAGGCAGAGCCAGCTGTACTCGCCCCCTCCCCTGTCCGCCAGTCAGCGCTGGAGGATCGGACAGGGGAGGGGGGAATCCCTGCAGAGAGCCGTGAGTGACAGTCACGGCTCTCTGCAGGGACAGGATCGAGAAGTGAGCAAGCGACGGTATGCGTCCACTCACTTCCCGATCTATTGAGCCGACCTGTGTCAGTTTCATTGTCACAGGCCGGCTAGAACTGAGTGATTTTCACTCGCCTCATAGTTCTCCTTTAACTAAAACATCCACATTTATTACCCACTTCCTTTTTTAGCATATTATTTTATGTGCCAAAGGATACAGATGAACAGTAACACTGCACTGAATATAGCCAGGTTTTCATTAGGCATGTGATCCATATAGAAAAAGACAGTAAGAAAGTAAAGCAGAATGTTCGGTGCTTTCCTGTTCAGTTACTCCAGTTCAGGTTCTGCAGTTAATATTTAGTCCAACTTTACAATACAATTTCCCATGCATTCCAGCATCCACAGTAGGGTTTTGAATGAGCCAGGGCACTTGTTCCTGCAGCGCTGGGATCACACTTCCAATGCAATTCCAAGGGGATGGGGGGCACTGCCTACACCTAGAAGTTTTCAGGCAGGCTCCATGATCTACAGGTATGAGCATGTTTGCCTGACCCGAAGCCACCTGATGTACGGCTGATTTCAGCCGATATACAGCTGGAATCAGCCGTACCAGCCTGAAGTGAATAGCCGAACAGCATTCGGATCACTTCGCTTGGGGTTGGTTAGTCACTCGGCTGCCTACGGCAGCTTAGTGAATAGACCCCTAAGTGACCACAGTTCAGTTTCCCATCATTCTCTTTGCATAGTGAACAGTCTTTACCCCTTTAGAAAAGCAGCCCCAATAAATGTGTGTACTGAATAACTTAAAGGGTTAGCTCAACTTTGTAAAAACAATAGCCCATGTAGTCAAGAAGCCCCACTAGGTAACAATAAACTAAGCAAGTTTAAAAATCTTCTGTACCTGTAGGCCAGGGGTTGTCAGAGCCTTACAGGGTTTGTAGTTTCACCACAGCTGCAGGGCTGAAGTTTGGCTACCCCTGCTGTAGGCCATTTG